TTTGATCAGTGCCAAACACCATAGTGATTACTACAGTGATTAGTTTTTTACTTTATAAAGATTGACTTAGCTGGGCTCAGTGGCTCAGCCTGTAATCCCATGCCTTGGGAGACTGAGGTGAGTGGATTGCCTGAGCCCACGGGTTTGAGACCCGCCTGGGCAACTTGGCGAGACCTCGTCTCTACAATAAATCAAAAAATTAGCCGGGCGTGGTAGCACACGCCTGTAGTTCCAGCTACTTGGAAGGCTGAGGCGGAAGGATCGCCGGAGCCCAGCAGGTCGAGGCTGCGGTGGCCAGGAGCGGCCACTGCACTCCAGTCTGGGTGACAGAGTGAGACTCCAACTCAAAAAAAAAAAAAAAAAAAAGAAGATTGACTTGTTTTTCTGGCCTATGTATGAAAGACTAGTCCATAACACGATTGAAGGACAATTTCAGGTCCTTACCAGTTTACTTCTTACTTATTTTATGATTATTCATTTTCACTTGGAGGTAAATTAACAAGTGATATTTTAGAAGAGATACTAATAATTCCTAGAAATCTAATATTTGAAAACTATTTCAAATTTTGGAGTTTACTTGGAAAAAATTTGGAAATATTACAAGGTTAAAATATTTAAGCTTTTGCCTAAAACCTTCAGATTGTTAAGGTAAAACATTTCATAAGTTTGAAATACTAATTTAAAATATTTTCATCACTTTGGAAGTTACTTTAAAATCCTCTGCCACCTCCAAACTCCTTCAGTTCTGATTTCTAAAATTAAATGTTTTAATTCTGGAGTTTCATTTTACATGAACTTCTTTTTCAGTATGAGACTGTCTAAGTTTATTTTACACCTAATTAAAATCACCATTTTTCTTAACTTGTCAACAACTCAGTTGAGCAGTCAGACTGTATTATTCAATATCTTGTCTGACATGAGGACAGCAGTCCAAAGAGAAAGATATCACAAATTGGTGCCACACTTCGATAAATAGAGACATTTTATTTTTCACCAAGCTAATTCAATCCAGTTCAGTTAACTCTTTTTCCCCCTTAAGGACAGATCAAAAAAGGCAGCCGTGAATGACTGAGTTCATCATGTGTTTGACACGTCAGTGTGTGAATATAAAGCAGACCACAAGGGAGAGGTTCTGTCTTTAAACTCCAGACAATACCCAGTGCGAGAGCCTCTCACTCCGATCTGCACTGTGGGGATCTGGGAGAGTGGCTCAGATCGCTAGTACATACACAGGTAGTATGGGAGCTGGCTAGGGCTCTCTGCTCTGCATACCCTCCCTTTTCAGCTGAATCATTCTTAAGAATTTTCATCTTTCAGGTGGTCATTGAGTTTAGTTTTAGTTTCATAAACTAAGGTGATTGGCTGTGACGTGTTCATTTTGTGATTTTGATAAAATCTTTATCTTAATTGTCTGAATTTATTTATAACAATTGTGTATTTATTCCTACATGTTTAAACTTCAGTCACCTTCAGAGTACTCTCCATTTGATGCAGTGCATCTATTGAAACATTTTTTCACTGCTCAAAACAGTTTTTGAACTCATCAATTTGGATTCCTTTTAGTGCTGCTACCATTTTTTGCTTCACATCTTCCACATTGGCAAAAACGTTTCCCATTGAGGACTTTCT